GGAGGGGAAAGAGGTGCAGGCATGGGACAGTGTAGGCAGCCTGCAGAAGAGATGGCCAAGGCCTCTGGCAAGGCTGCAAGGTGTAACAGGACTGTGGTGTTTGTTGCCTTGGCTATGGTTGTTGCCTGTGCCACCAAGGCCCATGAGATGGAACTTTAATGTGAGGGTCTCAGGCTCTGTCTTGCCAGAGCCTCAGAGTTTGGCCTTTCTGCTTCCTCAAACAAAGCCAAGGCTTTTCTCAGCATTACAGGCAACTGCTCAGGGCCTTTGCCTACCCGCAAGCATGGCTTCCAGTTATCTGCTCTAATGAGTCCATGGGGAGCCTTTGTCAGTGATTGCCCTCAGTGGGGCCCATGAATGCTTCAAGGAACTTTGGGTTTTGCTTCTGACTTGGACTTCTTGAGCTGCTTGTTCAGTCTTCTCTCAGCAGCTGAGGTTCATGTAATAAGCCCCAAATGTCCTGACGACCTGTTTATCTGTCTGTAATTTTTTTCAAGTCTTCAAGACTTGCATAGCTAATTGGAGCTGTTTCCTAGTATAGTTAAGGAGGAAGACTTCAAAGTGCACCTACTAATTTATTTTTTTATTTTAAAGGGAAAAATTATTACTTTACATAAGAGGTTAGAGCAGCATTCTCCAAGTGATCATGGGCCAGAGTGTCTCCTCAGGAGGTCTGGTTAGGTCGGAGAAGCAATTCCTTGAGGTTTGACACTGTGTGGCAACCTTACTCATCACCTCCTCAACCTCACCGTTGCTCTCATTGGACCCTTGGCTCTTGCATCACTTGTCCTCACATCAGGCTTCTCCACTGAACTCTGCAGCTGGATGCTACAGCTCCTGTGCACCATCTCCCCCTGCTTTCCTCAGATAACTGGATGCACACAGGCACAGAAGAATTTTTTCCTATTTGCAAGCAAAATAAAGCCAAGCACAATCAAGTTTCATAAAGAAAACACACTCCTCCAGCATATGCCATGATGCTTAGAAAAACTCAATTGAAACTGGAAAGGGAACCAAGATGAGCTGTTTCTACATCAGTTCAAGAAGAAAGACAGAGAATGTGATGCCACTGCTAAATTTAGTAAGAGTGGGTGTAGATAGAGCTGAGATAATCGATGACTTCTTTGCCTCAGTTACCACCAGCAAGGTCTCCCAGGCCTTTGTGCTTTGAGGCAGGGCTCTGGGAACCCTGAAGTAGAACAGCCAGCAGTGGATTGGTTTCAAGCCAGGGGCTACTTTGGTAAACTACACTCCTAGCATTCCATGGGACTGGAGCGGTTACATCTAAGGGTGCTAGTCAAGCAAGGTGAGCTCATGTGGATGAACGGGCACAGCCACCCCAAGCAGTGGGCATTCCCCATCTGCCAGGCTGAGGTGTGCACACAATATGAAACACAGAATCACACAGAATTGCACAGGTTGGAAGGGACCTCGGGAGATCAT